CGTTGGCCACAGCTCGCGCCAGAGCGCCGTCGCGCGTTGGGCTTGGAGCCGGCGCGGTCAGTGTTTTTTCCGGCTCGGCCGCAGTTGGTGGCAGCGCCAAGTCCACCTGTTTTGGCAGCGGCAGGCCGGCGCGCCCTTCCGACCCCCCACCGCAGTGGCCGCAGTTGGCTCGTAGGCGGGACGCGCCCGCGATCAGATGCACAGCGGGCCCCCGCTCCCCTGCGCGCGGCCTGTTCCGCCCGGCCTGCGTCTGTCCGGGCAGTGGCCGCCCAGATGAAAAGCTGGGCTATAGAAGGCGGGCAATTTATCTTCCCTGGGCTCGGCGTGGACGCACCCGGGCGGGCAGCGCATTTGGAACTGGGCGCAGGGCATCACGGCCAGGGATTGCATTGGGTCGGTCAACAGGGGCCTTAGGCCGCCCAGGCGGTCGGCGCCCTTGGACCTCAAGGCCGCTGCATCAACGCATTTGCTTGTGGAGCCGCTTTGTGCGGAGGTCCCTGTGAACCCGAAGGCGCTGATCATCTTCGGCTCGTTCTTCCTCGCTCGCGAGGTCGGGATATCGCTGGCGTCGTGCCGAAACGCCGCATCTTGGAAGGTCCCGTGGAATCTCGGGTGTTGCCGGCCTCTAACACGGACCCGGCGGCCCGCGCTGCCATTCGGGATTGGGGCCTGCCCGTGTGCTAGCGCGGGGATCATGTCGTGTTCCGCGCGCGCAGCAGTCGACCATGCCGGACTTCTGGGGGGAATAAACCCTGTCCTTCCAGGAGGGCTAAAAAATAGCATCCGACTTAAAACCCATCCAAAAGCTATTCTACGTCTTGGTTTTAAGCTGTTTCGCTCAGCATTTTAGGTTTTTAGGCCTCCAGTGCTAAAAAATAGCTCTCTGGAACGTCAGGGAAGTCGGGCCGCGGGAGTTGAGACCAGCGGAGCTGCCTTTGCTCCCGACGGCTCAGGGCACGGTGGCTAGAAACAGCAGGCAGTGTCGCAGGCCCAGAGGTTGACACCAACACCAAGATCGGCGGTGTGCCTCCACCGAGGGAAGACGATCCCGATATCGGTGATGGTGGTGATATTCTGGCTTCCAAGGTGACCGAAATATTACCACCAACACCGAAATCTAGGATCATCTTCCCCATGTGGAGGCAACCCTCTGTGCTGGTGTTGGTGCCAATTTCCGGGCCTCCAACAGTGGACACCATGGAGTTGGTTGCCCAGAGCTGCGGGGAGGCATTGAGCGACGACCTGGGCTGGCGGCGCTTCGGCGGGAGTGCGCCCCGCGTGCCCGGCGCTCGACGTCTCGCCGTCATGGGCCCGGAGCTGCACGAGCTGGCCCTTCTTGCCCGGTGTCAGAGCGTGAATTACCTACCCCGCTTTCCCTTCCAGGCAAAACCAAGTCATACCACGCGCCTCCTCGTCAAGCGGCCTGACCAGTACAGGCCGTAGTTTGGCATCGCTTGGCATCTCTTGGAAGCGAGGGTGGTCAAAAGCGAGGTAGGTCTGTTTGCCCCCCACGGTGGGCAGGCCCGATCAGCATGCGTTCTGTCGCCGAGGCGCCTATGGCTGGAACAACCGGGGATTTCCAGAGGCTCGCAGGGATCGAGTTAAACAGTGTTATCCGTTTTCGTTTTGTTTTCGTGATCCCTAGTTCTGTCTTCGTTCCACATTTGCTGCAAAACGAAGTCAAAACGAAAACGGTCCACGAAATTGTCAAAACACCGTTTAGCTCGAGCCCTGGAGGCTCGTGAAAGGCCTGCCGGAGGTCCATCATTCTTACCGTGCGTGGCAGGAGGTGGAGCGACTGCCATCGGCGACCGATGCGTTGCATAATGGATTTGGTCGGCCCGTGGCGCGCGAGGGGCAGTGCTGCAAGCAGAGTTGGGATCTGCGCGCCTCGCTGCGGCGATCAGGTGCTGCCTTGCCAAAGGTCGTTCAGGAGAGAAAGAAACACACGGACACAACCCATCGTCGACTCCCAGGAGAATATGGGAAAATATGGGAAGTGGGGGGAACGCCGAAAATCCAGAAAATATTGGAAAAATATGGGGAATCCTGTTATTTGTGTGTGTTTACTTGCGTGTCCCAGGGCCCCTGCAGTCGTCCGACACCTGGGCAGCGGCACCTGGTGTTGAACCCTTATTGGAGGAGTCGAGCACCATCCCACGCAATGGAGGACATGGCGTGGACGGCATTTTGGCCGCGTAGGGCCGCTCGCGCAGAGACAGCGCCCAGCGTCGGTGTCTGCGGCTCGCTTTGCGAGAAGCGCTTCAAGCCGTTAGGCTGTTAGTGGGCAGCCCCGCGATTCACGTGGAGGCAACGTTTCCAGCGCATCGCAGCGGAGGGAATCCGCGACTCCCACAACCAACCGCCGGAAAAGTAATACTCTCAGCGTCCTCTTGCCTCGAGCGGCAAGTAGGAGGTCTTCCTCCTCTTGCCACTTGTCGGGAGGAACAGAGCGAGGCGGTGTGCGCGTAACTATTGGGGGGGAGTTCAGAGGGGGCGGGCGGGCAGCAGTTCGTGGCGTTGATCGTGACATCGCATGCCCATTTGGGCTCAAGGGTGCACGACCTCAACGTCGGGAACACCCGCCCGTCGGTACCCCAACCCCGCCCTGGAGCGCGCGGCGTCGCTGTCGGGTGCCAATCGCCGATCTATCGGCGATGCATCGACGATTCCAGTTTTTAATGTTTGCCACCTCTGAGCCAGCACCCCCGCCTGTCCTTGCCACCCAGTGCTGTGCGGCGGTCCTGGAGGAGCGGGCCCCCCCTGCAGACAGCCTCCTTGCAATGTTATGCCTACTTCGCCGCCGTGGGGCGCTGGGGGGGGTCACTCGTCGCCATGGCCAGGAGGAGGAGGAGGGGAGGAGATGGAGGGGGAGGGGGAGGGGGAGGGGGAGGAGGAGGAGGAGGAGGAGGAGGAGGAGGAGGAGGAGGAGGAGGAGGAGGAGGAGGAAGAGGAGGAGGAGGATGGGTGGGGGGCTGTGCTGTGCTGGGTTTTCGGCCTGCGCCGCCCTCGGCACCCCACATCGCCTCCCCCTGTCCCTCCTCCCCGGCCGGCCCATGGGGCTTCCTCCTGCCCAGCAGTGCCGCGCCCACCAGCGTGTTTGCTCCTTTGTCCCTTTTTGGTTCCGTCCTCCTGCCCTCGTGCTGCTCGATCGCCCACGGCACCCCACATCGCCTCCCCCTGTCCCTCCTCCCCGGCCTGCCCATGGGGCTCCCTCCTGCCCAGCAGTGCCGCGCCCACCAGCGTTTTTTTGCTCCTTGGTCCCTTTTTGGTTCCGTCCTCCTGCCCTCGCGCTGCTCGATTTTGCCTCTGAGCGTCAGGCCTCGAAGCTGCCGAAGCCGCGTGCTGGAAACGGCCCGCCCTCCATGCAGGCAACCACTCCAAGCTTCTGGGGGGGCACTTTGGGCCGGCCTGCACGCCCCGAAGGCCGACGGAGCAGCGGGCGCGCGGGAGTCGTAGCAGCTGGCGCGCGCGATGGTTGCGGCCTCCGGGACAGAGCCCGCCCGGGCTTCCCAGAGCGGCACGCACGGGAGTCCGAGGACGGCCCCCTTTGAGACCATCTCAGCGCAGGTGTGGGCTCTGGACTCGCGTGAAGTCGGGCCTGTCCCCCTACAGGGGGATTGTCGACGAAGCATAAAACATACCCCGAAACGAGTCAAAAGATAGTCCAAAAATAGTCGGGGGACCATTTGTTGCGTATTGTTTGATCTTTTCGGGGTATTTTGGGGGTATTTGTTTTTTTTTTCGTCGGAAATCCCCCTGTAGGGGGACACGCCCGACATAAGACTCGCAGCCGCATTCCCAATGCACTGGGGGACGGTCGTGCGGGGAGTAGTCGTGGGAGCGCAGGGGTGCGCCAAGAGGCGCCCCATGGATTCCGTAACCGGAGGGTCAGGGGCTGTGGCAGAGAAGCTGCAGTGAGGAAAGTCGGAGTGACTCGAGGGCACTCCTCGCAGTGCCTCGCGTGAACTCGTCATCGGTTGTTCAGGGCCACGCTGGGAAGGAGCAGCGGCGTCGCATAAGCCAGCCGTTTTCACCGAGATCGAAACGCACTGGAATGTACACGCATTGGTGGCCACGTGGGATTTCTAGCATTTGGTTGTTAAGATACAGTGCGTTGTTGTGCTTCTGTTTTGTATGAGTTACTTTCTGCTCTCAATCCTGAAATTGTCGTGCTCCTTATAACACAGGCGCGTCGACAAACACATGAGTGGAACATAGGTGGCATGTTTACAACCATAGCTTCGACCACGTACACACAACACACGTCAACGCACTACAAGACAGCACAGCGCAAAAACGCATGGACACCTCACATTGAGTTGCATCCGTATTTCGGCAGATTGGGTTTCTTTATGGCCATGTGAACGGCCGTTCAACGGCATCCCAGGAGGCTCCCCGTTGGATCCATCTTGAGATCGTTCTTTTGCCTCTGGGGGCCATCTTGGCGGCCACGCTGTCCTGGCCTATTTTTGTGTTGGAGGCCATCTTGAGTTATCCTGGGTCGTGTTGGGATACTTTTGGGTCACCTTCAAGTTCCTTGCCCAGGAGGTGCGTGGACGTTTTCGTGCATGGGGGGGTCCCTTTTGAATATGATATTGCACCGCAGGCAGGTGAACATGGAGACGGGAACAGCCAAGCATTTCACGCGCCGTGCCATGACTGGTAGTCAGGGATTAACTACGATGTGTGCATTTATCGCAGATATTTGTTTTGTCATTCTGTTTGCAGCATGGTTATCAATGGTAATGCTTGGTCTGTTCTCAGTCGAATGTGGGTCCACTTAATGGAGGGTTGTGCATGTACCCGTTGTCCTTGATTTGATCCCCTGGTCCAATCAATGAAATATATTACGTGTGTAGATGTGATGCCTGTGCGGGCGTTGAGAGTTGTTCGTGGCGGGCTCATTCTTCAAAGGTTGTCAGATGTTCTCCGGTGGTTGTGGCCGTGAGCTGCCGTCCAGATGATGAGGGGGAGAAAGATGAGAAGGGGGAAAGGATATGCACTACCTGTACAGCTTGTCCAGAGACGGTGTGCTGGTATCCTTACGCTACGATCTCAAGGCGCCGTTGTATGCACCATCTGCGTAGGGTCCTATGCTGTCGCGTACAACGGCGCCATATCACGGGGTTGTTGTTGTTGATGCTATGGTTGTCACCATTGGTCTTGATTTTCCGCGCATGTAGAATATTACTGCGGATCTCATTTGTGGATATACGATTGTTTTCGATCAAGCGTTGCGTATGCTCTACCTATCAACACCCGCACCCGCTCGTGTCTCGAGAGATTCCGAGGATGTGTGAAACTGCAATACTGGGCACTGGTCTTCATCAACAGCAGCGACGGCTTTCTCGTCAGATGCCCTCAGCTTTCAAGATATAGCGCCCCAAAGAATCTAAGCGATCGCCAATGTCGCGTCTCCGCCGTTGCTCCGATCTGCGAAACCTCCTGGCAGGTTACCCTCCTGCTTCCCTCCCTCCACCATGCTATTCTTCATGTCGCCCATCGCTCCTCCATCTTCCCGCCTTCGTTCGACCCCCTTTCTCTCTTCTTCCTCACACCTCGCACTTCTCCCTTCCCCCCCTCCTGTCCTCCTCCACTTCTACACGTCCTCCTCGTTCGGTTTCTTTCTTTCTAGGGTTTGGGAATCGAGAAGACTTGCTAACGTGGTCGCGTTTATAGACGAGGCTGGGTTGCTTTGAGATAGGGGTATCACGCTTGCATCTTCGAGCACATATACTAAGCTGCCTTACAGAAGCTGCAGTTGTAGTTGCTTTACGTTGATGGTGTGGACGAGGCGGATACTCATTGACATTTTTACACACACACCAGATTCGCCTCAACATGTCGAGTCTGGGTTGCCATGCTATCGTTGGAGTGAAGGAGGTGAGTTTGCATCAGCCAGTCTTAGACCATTACGAAGGACATGTTTGACGGAGGAGGAGGAGGAGGAGGAGGAGGAGGAGGACCCATGAGGGAGGAGGTGAGGTGGACGAGGGAGGAGGGAGTGAGTTGGGCAGGACAAGGGAGAAGGGAGTGAACTGAGTAGGACGAGGGAGGAGGGAGAGGGAGGGAGGGTGGTGTGGGGGAGTGGTGCCTGGGGGGCGGGGGGGGAAAGGGGAAAGAAGGATGAGCGATGGGAGGAGGAGGGCACCCTGTAGGATTGCACCAGTCGAGCAGGGCGTTTGCCTCCTTTCACACTGCCACCTCCCTTTTCCTTTCCCCTCATTTCCACGCACCTCCTGCACCTCACTACCACCTCTCCCCACTCCCCTTTTTCCCTCCCCCTGCGATCGGCTTCCTGCCCCGTCCGTCGGAGGTCCTTGCCGTCACCCTGGGACCCTTGACCCCCTTCCCCGTCGTTCGACTTGCCCAGCCGCGCAGCATCCGTGGCACACCGAGCAGCGCGGAGACCCGAGCAGCCGTGGCCGCACGAGCAGCGCTCACGAGCGGATACGACGTGGCGACTGCACGCGTGGCGGAAGAAGCAGCACACGGAGCACGCAGCGAGGGGGCTCCGCGGCGCGCGCGCGGGGGCGGGCCCGCCGGGCCTCCTCCTCCTCCTCCGCGCCTCTCGACATGCCCGTGCCGCGCTGCTGCCCGGCAGCTCGGGCGCGAGCCCTTCTACCGGGGGCGGAAAAGAGGGGGGTGATGACCAGGGGGGGTGGATATCATGGCGTGGGCCATGATATTTCCCCAGATCTCATGGCGCATCTTCTTGTTTCATTACGTCCCTGGCCCCCCCCGCTGGGCCGCGCACATGCCGCCGGTCATGATTTGCACCCCCCCCTCTTGGACACCCCCCTCTTGGCCGCTCCCGATTGTAGCGGGCGGCCGCTCGGGCCAGGCTCCACCGCTCGGAGACGAGGGTACCCGCCACTCCAGTTCAGCATCGTGTAAACCATCCCCATCCCCATCCCCATCCCCTCGAGACCCCCGCCAAATTACCACCCGAGTTGGGGATACCAAATTACCACCCCAGTGAGGGATACACCCCTCGAACCCCGAAGGGAACGACCTATCTCCCCATTTAGGGGGGTAACTCGGCCAGTGGGGCCCAGGCGACGCCGCTGGGGATAGGGATCGGTGAAACGATACTCGCCAGTTCCCGTCGCCGCCACCTCACCGCCCGCCCCCACCCCCCCAACAATTCGGCGGCGGCGAGCGACGGGGGGGGGGGGGAACTGGGCGGAAGAAGGCCTTCTCGGAAGGCGGCGGGCCTTCTCAGAAGGCCTCCCCGGCCTCCGGAGAAGCTCGTTCTGTCTTCGGGGAAGGCTTGGGAAACCTCCCAGAAGTCCCGGGGGGGCTTCCGAGCCTTCTGAGAAGTCTGAGAAGGCCTCCTCTTGGGGAACGTAGAATGGCATAAACATAAAAACTTGGAGGTCCGCGCGGATTTCTCGTATTTCTCTCTCTTTTCCGATCATGTTGGAGTATTTTTTGAGTATTTTTTATCTTTTGAGTATTCTTTATTTTCGTCGAAAATCCCCCTGTAGGGGGACACGCCCGACTTGACTGCAGTAGCCAGGCGCTTGGCGGCGGTCTGGCAGAGCGCCCCGTGCGAGGTCCACGTCCGCGGAGCACGCAGGCACGACGCCCTGCGCGCCGCTGGGGTGCCGCTGCTCGAGCCGCCCGCACCGCTCTAGTGGCGTGGAGTCGGGCACGCCCCTCTGCACTCTACACCTTAGGCGATGCTTAAGAAAACTTCAGTTTTCGGCCAGAGTCTCGATTATTCTTATTGTTTCAATGGAAAACCTAACTTTTTAGTAGAAATTAGGGGTTTTCTTCAAATTCTGAGACTCTGAATTTCTTACCCCATGATTTCTGCAGCATTTCGCAGGGTGTACAGGAAAAGCGTTCAAACATAGGAACAAAAATAGTCTCGGGACGGTGTTTCGAATATTTTGTTGACAATTGTTGAGTGTTCTTTGAGTATTTTTTTTAGCTCTCGTCGAAAACCCGCCTGTCTGGGGACATGCCCGACCTCACTCCAGCGCCTTCCCGCGGGCTGCCTCAGCGAGGTTGAGCCCTCTGGGCGGCCTTCCCGACGGACATGGCTGGCCTCCTGCTGCTGGCGCTCGTGGTCTTCGAGCTGCTGCTTGTGCTGGTGGGCTCCGTCGATGCTCCTCGCCTCCGGCAGCAGGGGGACCAACGCAGACATTCGCTGCTCCTCAGCTGGGCCGTCGGCTGCTTGGCCCTACCATGGCGAGGTGGCATCCTCGAAGGTAACCCTGGGCGAGCACCACCGACTACCTCCCATGTTTGGCCGTCTCTGTCCGCACGGCCACCACTGAGCATCAGGAGCAGGATACCTATACCGACTAGCAGCACGGTGATCTCAGCCCCCAGCCTGAGGATGGCGTAGGAAGGGGCTCGCGGCAGTGTTTGCACCACTTCCACCACCAAAGGCTCTACACTCTACATCCACAGTTGGAGCATTTGATGAGATCCTCCTTGCGTTCGAAGCCATTGCTGGCCATCGACGGTGCAAGGGAGCAAAGGAAATCGAACTGAGCTGGCACCCCAGGGGGCGCTGGGCGTGCAGCGTACAGGAAGAGGAAAGCTGACAGCCGCACGAGGGATCGCTTCGAGGGTCGTGTAGGAAGAAAGCCTGCTGAAGCGGCCCGCCTTGAGCCAGCCCCTTGGCTGCAGTCAAGGATGACGCCGCAGGGCAACGGTTTCCCCGACTTCCTCTCCCTCTCCTCCCTTACCCTGCCGCTCCTCCCTTGCACTCCCCCTGTCCTCCTCCCCCCTCCTTTCTGCTTCTTCTGCTTCTCCTGCTCTTCTTTCCCCCCCCTCCTCGTCCTCCCCTCTGTCGTCGTCCTGCTTTCCCCCCGCCTGCCACGAAGAGAGGTGGATGAGGCGCAGGAGAAGAACCACGCGGGGACGGCGCGATCTGGGACCCCTCTTTACTGCAGGCCCGGCGAGTGGACGGTGGCCGGCAAGGCGGCTCGGGCCGTGGCAGTTTAGCATAACAACGATAGCACACACAAGCACACACCAAGTACTGACGGAGTGTCCGGACCTGCTTATAGGCCACCAGAGAATGTTGTACTATCCTCTTGAAGGTTGCGCGGATTTGCCAGAGAATCGTCGCGTGTTGACGAACGTTGTTTGTTTAGAATTCCCATTTCTCAGAGCATTTCGTGGTAGGCCTGTCGGAATGCCCTGACGGTCGGTCCCTGCTCAAACAAATGCATTTGTTATCGGGGGATTGCGGAAGGTTTCTCCGCTGGCGCGAGATTCTTCCCGAGAGGATGTTGGTGAGCAAGCTAGCGGCATCGGGGGAGCCAAGTCGAGCCCGTTGACGTACCACGGCCTACTAGGAGCCCGTCGGTTCAGAGGAGTCGGTGAACAAGTCAGATACTGGTGCATCTTTTGCGGTATTCGTGTAGCTTGTTGGGTGGGGGGACCAAAGATCAAACGGGCCCCTCAGAGGCTTCAGATGCCCATGGTTGGTGAAGCCCCAGGACTGGATTCCTGGGCGCTTTGCCCAGCGCTTACCACGGACCCCGATATTTTCCTTGAGAGCCTTCTGATCTGATGCCGAAATCATCGCCGATGACAGTCTCAACCAGGACGGATACCTTTTCCTTACCAATGCCGCCACTCTTCTGTTTCGTCTTCTGTTCGCTCTCCCTCCTGCTCTTCCTCCTGTTCTTGCCTCGCCCTCCTCCTTTCTCCTCCCTCCTCCTTCTCCTCAACCTCTCTGTCCTCCTTCTCTCTCCTCCCTCTTATACGAATTTACTCTCACTTCTCCCCATCTCCTTCCACTATGCCGGTTCCTTCCTCGTGCTGTCCCTACCCCTTCTCCGCTCCAGTCTGCTGGCCGCATTCGATCTCCGAAGGCGTACTGCCAGCAGCCGGTCCATCAGCGGGTGACCCGGTGCGCCTTCGACGCGAAGTCGAATTTGTTGGCAGCTGGCTTTTCGAATGGACCAGGGGACGGGGAGGAGCATACATTTCTGGCCATCATACATGTATGTGGAGTTCAGGTCCCCGT